ATAATTTTAAATAAATTATAAATAAGATTTCTTAATAAAAAATTTATTTTTCATGCTTTCTAAGTATATATTTGTTACAAAATAATAAGGATACTATACAAGAAGAACAGTTTTCTATAGCAATCTTATTTATTACAGTAAAAATACAAAAATATAAATTATCATTATATTCAGGAAATACAAAATACAAAATAAAAAATAGATTGAAAAAAGAAGAATATTAATTATGGGACGAGACTCGAACCCCGGGGCTTTCCCAGTGCAGGAATTTATTCCCAGTGCACTTGACAATTATTTGAAATAAATCCGTAGTTAAGGCAATAATAAAGCTCTAATCATAAATATCCCAGAAACTATTAAGTAGTTGCCCTTGTAATGACCTGCAAAGTTTCAACTAAATAAATGACTCGAAGGGCTTGCACTCTTCTTGTAAGTATCAAAAGGAACATGCAAGTTATCATACGATGTATTTTAAGTTTAAGGGGATCTTTTGGTCTAATTTCATTTGATGAAATAGTGAAATTGGTATACAAGACATATACCTATTACTTCATCGCGCTATTTGTACCTATCTTGACCTATAAACAAAGCATTGATCCATTACAAGTTGGTTATTCACCTCGAAAACGAAATATGTGAAATATTATGAAACAGTATGATGAATCAGTTAAATCTTGAATATTTGTATCAAAAACTCTAAATACGTTTTTCTTGAAACTATACTTTTCAAATGTGTTAACACGATAGTTCGATATCTAGTAAATCGATTGACTTCAAATTTGGACATCTTCAGCAGATGTTCCTTTGTCGTGGGGCCTAGAACAATTATAATCCAATGTGAACAATTTTTTTTTCAGATTTAAGTGAAAAATTATGTGAAAAAAACAAAGAAAATCGATATTTCAACTTTAAAATACTGCGATATTTCAATAACTAATTTCAATAACTTTTATAACTGTTATTATTTTTTACTGAAAAATAACTTAGAATACTCCCAAAATATGTATCAATGGAATTGAAAACTCTTATGGTTTCTTCGGAAAAATATGCTTCTTTTCTTATCTCTAGACCAGAAAGGCACCGTTAAAAGAGAACTAGCATTAGATATAAATTGATGTGATAATGGACTATGTACATAATAAAATATAATAATAAACAATTATGTTTCCGTTTCGATAAAAGTCAAAATTAATTTTACCAAAAATAATTACATATTTTCGGTAAGTGCAAAAATAAAACATCAGAAATCAGATAATTATTTTAACTGGTTTGGTAGTTCTAGTGTTAAAGTTACAAGAAGAAGTTGTAAAATACGGTTTAGAGGCGAAAGTACATTTTTCTGGCTTCACGTGCATGGATTCACAACGTATGGTATTCCAACTAATTAAATAGAACGACATTGATCGTTTCATTAGAAAATATAACGTGTTTACCACAACATATCATTTTGTTTCATAACACCAGAATTACCAAATCAGTCAAAGTAATTACAATAAAAAGTCAATTATTCCAATTAATTGGAGAACAAATTCGTTAAGATAATCAGCTTGAAAAAAAGCAAATTCTGAATTATGTTATAAATCAACCAGTAATTAAAAATTTTTCAAATGCAAATATTTTTGTGCAAACTAATACATATCTAGTAAGAAAAATGCAAGATAAAAAATGAAATACACGTTTTTAGATATTGCCAAATTATTCTATCCAGTGCAATGCAATTTATTTATGTATTTATTTAAATTCCTATTTAAAGCCTATTCATGACTATCACTATAGACTCCAAATCCAAACATATAATGTACCCAAATTTCTAATTAGTGATTAGTTACAATCTTTTAATGTAATACTAAACCTACCACAGTTTAAACAACTATTCTTTAATTCTTTATTAAAATTCCACATTGAACATTATGACTTTGATCATTTGTTTTCATGATTTTTCCTTTATTATATATATATAAAACAGGCAAACAAACCTTCATTCTTGTGAATGAGAAGTAATTTCTTATAGATTTTTGAATGCTAAATCTAAATCTCTTGAAAAAAAAAGGTTATCGTATCAGATGTAGAGAAAATTTGAAGATAAAAACTGAAGAAAGACTCAATTTTCACAATATTTGCAGAGAGATGTTGAAAAGAATAATTATTTTTCAATAACTTTCTTTATCATATTACATAATTCTCCATCTGTAAAACCAAATTTGATTTGTCATTATATGCTTTATTGTTGTTGAGATATACCATTTTGAAGTTTCTATTTTTTATTTATCTGAGAGTACAAGCATACAATTTTTATCATCAAAAAAGTACCCATTTATAAAGCTAGAAATAGCCATTTGAGTGATATCATAATCCATGCACAAGTGTAAAGACTAAATAAAATACCGATAAAAAATGTATACATATTCTTTCGTGACATCCTATATGTGTCAGAAAAACTTTATTGAATGAAATGTAATAAAATCTAGAAGTAAAGCAAAAAAGGGAAATATTACTTTCTCAGAAACAATAATCGGAGTAAAATTGCAAACACTCATAACTCGTATATCTGCATGCTTATAATGATCTAAGAAAGTATGTTAAAACTAACAAAAGCCTATAGATTTTGTGCCTTTAACATTACAGTTACTAACCTTTAACGTGTAACTTTACATATAGTATACAGATGTAACAGATATGTTAAACAAAAGTACAAATACATTAAATGAAAAATTTGTAGGCAAAACAAATTTGAGAAATATCTTTTTTATTAAAAAATCAAAATCATTTTATATGTTGTTAGTAGTACCATATATTTTTATTGCTACATTTATCGATACTGCAATAATGTAATTTCTTTTTTAAATAGTTATATAACTAAATAATAATAAGTAAAATGAAAAAAATAAGTGAGTAATGTGTTTAAAATAATAAAAATAATATGATGGAAATAAATAGGTATATATAATTACATTTCTATCTAAATCAACATTAACTTTGACAAAAGAAACTGTATGATTTTAATAACTGTAAAAATGAAGAGAATAAAACAAGTCATTTACTAGTTCTAATGTTAAGATTACAGGTACACGATAATGAAATTTTGTAAAATAATCCATGTCCTTTATAAATAAATTTCTGATTATCATTTGAAATATTATTTGAAAACGAAACTATTGATAACTAATGAAAATCAAGTTACAGGATTTGATTAATAGAAGTTTTTATTGGAAAATAAAAGATATCCAATCACTGTTTCTAAGAGATCATGGTAAAAGGCAAAATTTTTAAAGCCATTACTAAATCATATATTGAAACTTGTAGCATATATTTTTGTTATGAAGCAATGAACATAATACATAGAATTTCTATATTCCAAAATACAATGTAATGATATTTTAAGATATAGGAAGACTACTTTGAGAAGTAGGAAGTACTATTGTTTCTAACTTTATTTATATGCAATGCTTTTTATAACTTATGATATTTTTATAAACGGTTATTATAGAATAATATTGCTGTTTACCAACTTATAAATTATAAATTAGAAAGAATGAAAGAATACACGAAACACTACTATAGTAATATAGACTTGATAAGATTTTAACTATAATTCATTCATAATGAATATTATATTTTGTTTTAACTATAGTAGTTGACTTGAATATTTATCTGTTTTTTCATAAGGTGATAGGTCATGTTTCTCCTAACACAAAAGTGATGTTAATACATAACATTAAATAGATGATAAGAATAAAATGATGGTTGAAAGATGATGAAAAAAACTGAATAATAGAACTTTATAATAAATATACACATAATATGTATACTAGAAATATAACACAAATAAAAAGGTATAAATATTATCTTTTCTATGATAAAAAAAAATATACAATATTGGTGCTTTTTCAATTAATATAGAATATAGAAATTACTACTGTAACATAAATTTTTGAAGGTAGTAAGAAATATTTGAAAATTTTACTTTGTGTTATTTATATGTTACAGGTATAATACAACATGATCTATTTTTAAATATTATAATTGCAAACATTTGATACATCTCATTTAACTTAAATTAACCACATGAAAAGACATTAATCTAATTATTATTTATATTTTACTTTTAATATGATGTAAATTATCTTTTAACATATAGTTTAATGTATTACAATTTTAACTCACTGGAAATAAATAAAGAGCTAATATAAACTAGTTAAACATAACTTTGGCTACCCAATATTATCTAAATATTATTTGAGCATGATATAATAGTAATGACCAAAATCATATACAGAATAAAAATATTCCTTTATTAATACAGTATATGTAACCAATAAATAAGCTTATATATGATAAACATTATTATCTTATCATCTACTCATAAACTCTTTATGTTAAAGTATACAATAATGAACTGCAAAATTTGTAAAAATTAACAGTAAAGAAGAGTGTATAATGTAATGTAAAAGCATTAAAATAAAAGTATTTTGTTAATATCTAAGATATTAATCCATAAAACAATGACTTTTATTTTAAGTATTATTTTTTTGGTGTTAATTAATTTTAAATATTGAAACATAAAAGATTACATATATGTCCTACTATTTAATTTTATACATATTTGAAATAATATAGATAAAAATTAAATAATTCAAATAAACCATAATTTAGCATCAATTAAATTTACATATTCTTCCTCTAACATTATCTATTTTGTTTGTATTTATATTTGTATTAGAATCTTATCTATATTATCAGACAGATTTATATGCCATACTGATATAAACACATTTATATTTCCTATACCTTCTGTTTAAAAAAATAAGTTCAAAGTAATTTATAAATTCATAAAATAAAAACAGAATCACAACTGTTGTCTATAGATAAATCATATTAAAAAATCATACAATATTTAACTTGTTAGAAACAAATACACATGTCTATGGTATCATGATATAGGAAACGTAAAATATTAATATAAACAAATTTTAATTTGTATACGATATATTAAGACGTACCTTCAAAACCTCGATTTCGTTCTCCTGTCGATCTTTAGAAGACTCACAGGACATATTTCCTTTAATACATTATATTTTCATTATTCAATTTCAAATTCTTCAACAATTACTGGTGTTTTAGTTTAACTCATTGTTTAGCACTTAACCTTAAACTCTATTATGATACTAACGTTCTTAGGATTGAAATAAAACTAAATATTTAATATTTAAATTGTTTTTCACATTACTATTCACTGGAAATTCTTTTAAAAATAAGTTTAAGTTTATACATATATTGTTTTATAACTTATAAAAACACTAATATAAATTCAGCAACAGTCCTACGATCTGATTATACCGACGTTAAACAAGCAGTCTCCGCGACAAAAATCTACCTGCACGTCGAATGAAAGTACATAACACCACTGTTCGCTAGCTACTCACACAAACTTATAATACTAAATAGCTTTATGTGATCTGCACACGTGATTACCTTTGTATTATTGCGGGAAATTTAAAATTTATATTTGTATTCAAATTACAACAGTATTCAGTTATTTATTCATGTATTGAATTTTTAGAAACATATTCATAATATAAAACATAATATTCAATACAAAATATATAGTTAAATATTTTTAGAGATTAAAAAAAATTAAAATTAATATATATTTAATGTTTTATAAGAATCTCACTCTACATTAAACATATAATGCAAAGTAGTAAATAATACTGTAATAATTATTAATGTATGATGTTTATTTCTTTTTTAATCATTATTTAATAACCTATGCCGTTATTTTATTATTAAGTTAAGTTAGTCAAATTTTGTATAACAGAAGTGTAAAGAAATCTTCCTTAATATTAATAATGTTATTCTGTATTCATAATTAATTTATGAATAATTTAGAGTTATTAGTTTTTGTAAATCTAAAATATATTAGTAGCAAAAATTAACAAAAAGATGCTTTTACTGAATTTCTATTTATATTATTGATTTAAGATTATTAGCTTTTTAATTTTTTTCATTATATTTTGTTTACAATTCATATATAAAATATAAAAATTTATAAACTTATTTCATGAGGGAATTATATTTATTGCTCCTAAATATTGAAACTTAAAAATTTAATTAATATTTCGTAGCATAGAAATATATATTCTTATAAAAAATTGTTAGTATGTAATTTCTAAATATGCTTATTTCATACATTAATCGTATTAATGTACATTAATTGAAGGGTGAGTATTTACACAAGATCATATTGCAGAATAACCTCTTTATAGAAGTTGAAACTATTAAAACAAGTGAAGAAAAACACAAGAATATATAAATATGTACTTCTATTATTTATAGTCTCATAAAAAATTTTCTTAAGGCAAACTTACATTAATAGAGGAAACATATGTAACAGTAAAGTAAATTTTTGTCATAATCATTTTATATATGTATACAATTTAAATTATTAAGGTATATGTATGTATAATTTTTGTTTAATTTTTACTTTTATAAAGCATGAAAAGATCAAGTTTTCATGTATTTTGTGGTATACATGAAAAGATAATTATAATATCATAAAGTGTTTAAACTTCATAATTTTGTAATTTTTATAATTTTGTTAACTGTAATATAACATATTACATTACACGTAACAAATAATATAATAATATGTAATAAAAAAACTTTATCTGTATTTTAAAATTGTAATAAAAAAAATATTACCATAAAATTAATTTTCATAATATACTTTTTTATGAGATATTACGAAGTACATGCTATATAAATAAAGTAATTTTTAAAATAAAAAATTTTTAATTTATAAATTTTTATAATATTTGATTAATAAATTGAAAATAGTTTAAATCTAATTTAATAGTTAAAAATATATACAAAAATTATCTAATATGAGATAATTCTATATTTCATATTATTTATAAAATGTTACTATTAAAATACTAAGAGAAAAACCAAGTTCATAACAAGTATCATTTTCTTATTATTAGAATTTTCTTAAGCACAAATAACAATCTTGAGTGTTCGATCATGTATAAACATTTGAAGTTACATTGATAATACTAATTTATATGAACATATAATCTAAATACTAAATATTTATACATTAACGATATGAAAGAAATTAGGCAGTGTTTTCAAATTTCTCTTAAATTTTGATTGCTTGAATTAAAAGATACTTAAAATGTAATAAAACTTTCAAAAACAAAATTGAAGTATAAAAACATGCTGTTAATGATCTGTTCGATGTTAGTTATCAATGACCAAACCTAACATAACAGAACCTATCTTTTTCATCTTCGTGTTGCAGAGTACATAGTGTGTAAAAAAAGTATCCTAATATCAAGAATCTTCCAAAACAGTAACCTTTCATCTAAAAATAAAAAATTTGAAGTTTTAAATAGATAAATACAAGTACCTAGTTTAATTTTATATTAAAAGTCGAATGTGTCATTATAGTGCGTTGGCAAAATTTGGATAACAATCCTGTGAATATAACATTTCTTTCTGTTTACGTAAAAGTTAAATAGTGGTAGCAAAATGGTTCTTGCAGATTTAGGACGTAAAATTACATCTGCACTACGATCTCTCAGCAATGCAACTGTCATCAATGAAGAAGTAAGTATTTATATTTCAGTATAACCTTAAAATTTATTTTGACACAAGTAATTATATTCGTAACATATGTTGATTTTTGTTATTTAATATATATTATACTTTCACTATTTTCTAAATGTTTTTCATTTCTTAAATATAATGATTCCCTAATATAATAAATTTCAAAGCATAAGATATTCTATTTTAAAAGAAATTAAAATAACAATTATTAAAATAGTAATTATTAGAAATAGAAATATTTTAACATTCCATATTATTAAATTATATTATGCATACTCCATATTAATTAAAAAAGATCTTTATATATATATTTGTCAGTGATTTTAATTTGTTGATTTTTTATTTCAAGATATTTATATATCTAACATTGTTAAGATACATTGAAAAATATTTATTTCATAATGAAGTAATATATTCTAAAAAATAATTGCTATTTTAATATAAAGCTTTTTCTAACTGTATAAATTTACAACTAACTTATAAGAAAATATATTTCTTGAGATCTCAAATTATTTATATTATTTCCAAATTAATGATATATGTTGAAAGAGATATATAATGATAAAAAATGTTAAAAACAAATATAGTAACATTGTAATTATAAGTGGAGTCAATTAATCTTTATTATTATTTTGATTTTCATTATTCATTTCCATTAATAATAGATATTTTAATTACAAACGTTTTCAACTTTCAACTACTAAGCAAATACCTATTGGATTTTACCCATTATTCATTAGAATAAAGATTTTGATATAGTTTTGATTTTTCTTAGATAAAAGATTTAAAATATCAAATTTAATTTTGTCGTCTATAGATGACAGATTTGATAGAATATCTTCTATGAAGTAATTTTTTCTTTATTTACTGCAAACAGCAGTTAAATTCTTCATCAATTTCTTCTCCTCTTTGTTAGTTCTTTCAATTCCTTTGTTGAAAAAATCTTTCTGTATTATGTGTTCTGTAAATTATAAAATGTAAATTAAGAAATCTTAAATTATTACATGACATTTAGTAAACCACTTTCTAATATCAAAATACATAAGTAATTATTTTTTTTCCCTTATAAATTTACAAAAAAATAAATAACTTATATCATTATTGAAATTAATGTTAACATAATTTACGTTTGCATAATTATACAATTAAAGTTTCGTTACATACATTTATATAGAGTTGTTTTTATTTTTTTCCTAAGCAAAATTTTTGTATAATTATATATTTATACAATTTATAATAATAGACATTTTGACTAGTTGTCTCATCATTAATTAAAATTTATAATTTTACAAATTTATTAATGAACTATAAACTGAATAAAATTACTTTACTTTATTCCGTATTTGTATAGATAAATGGAAGTTTCAAATGATATTTAATAATAAAAAATGATATAAAAATATATATTACATTGTTACTTAATTTTTATATAAATTTATTTTGTATTGTTTGTAGGTCTTGAATTCTATGCTAAAAGAAATATGTGCGGCATTACTTGAAGCAGATGTTAATATCAGGCTTGTCAAAAAGCTAAGAGAAAATGTACGTCTCGCAATTGATTTTGATGATATGGCTGGTGGTCTTAACAAAAGGAGAATGATACAGAGTGCTGTATTTAAAGAACTTGTAAAGGTAAATTATATAATTTAGTTATTACTTAAATATAAACATTGAAAAATGACCTTATCTCTAACTTTTTATTTAAAAAATAGTAAGAAGTATATGTATTAATATTATCAGACTATTGAGCACTAAATAATTATTAATATTATTAGTATAATATAAATAACACTAACTTGTGATTACATTTATTATATGTGAAATGAATTAATTTGATTTTGCTAAGCTTATTTGGATGTATCTTTATTATATACCTTATCATAATGTATACATCAAATGGAAATATACTTTGTATTGTTGCCAATTTAAAATATAAATGTAATGTGATTATTTGTACCATCGAGATGTTTGCTAATTCACTAAAAACAAAATTTTTGACATTGTAGTTAATAATATTTTTATTATTATTGCATAATTTTCTCTGAATTTTATGTAATTTAAAAATTATGATCATGTCTAAAAGAAACTCATTGGGAAAGAAAAATGAATAAGATTTTATAACTGTAGTATTGAAAATAAATACTTAACATGATAACGATTATCACGTCCTTCATTCTAGAAATGTAATAAAAGTTTTCAATGTATAAAAGTCAGTTTATTACGAAAATGACTAATAAATTTACTGGAATATACAATGCTAAATTGTGATATTTTTTATGAAAAGTACTATTTCACATGTATATATATTTAAATATATCTATATATATATAATATATAATGTATATATTAATTTATCATTATTTTGTTTAGCATCAATAGTTGTCTGTAAATTACATTTAATTTTTTTCTTTTCTTTGGGAAAGATGCTAGGATTAAATTTATCCTATACATGTTTAATATTAGCATATTATCTGATAGCTATTCTCATACTATATATGTTCATCTTTCTATTAAAGATAATATATGTCCTATGTGTTTAATTTTTGTATAAATTTTAATTTCACTTAACATCTCAAATTCTTTACCACTTTATATCATTGGATATGTTATTATTTCGTTGTATAATTGTGCCATAATATCCTTTCTTCTCTATATTATTTTCTTTATCCTAATTTTTTTAATAGTTTGGAAAATGATCCTCAAACTTGAAGAAATCCAATCAGAAAGTATTTCTTTTTTAGAGCGATTAGATATATAATTCTAAAATAATAAAAGATAAAAAGAGGGCATTGCTTATTGTTAAAAATTGATAAAAGCTATGCTCAGAATTGCAATTTCTAACATGCTTACATTAAGCTAGCTCATGTCAGAGATTAAATATTTACAGTGTGACTAAATTGAGTGACTAAATTAAATTGACTAAAATTTTCTTGTTAATTTGCAAGGATGCTTTTGATGCCAAATTTCATGCTTGTCCTTAGGTTTATTTTAATTTGTTTATATATAAATTGCTCATTAATATTATTTTTTTGTTTCTTGTATTTCAGATTGTTTCCTTATATTGAGGTATACCCGCAATCTTTTATATGTATTTATTTTTCTCACTTTATGAATAGATTTATCTTCTGTATATAATTTATTATGTGCTTCTATATTAAAATATCAACTTTTTTACTTTTAGCAATTTTTTTTTTGCTACTACCAAATTCACAAATAATAGTCATTTGTATTTAGTTTCTCAATAACTATATATTAAAAAATATTTTGCATGATTTTCCCTTTAATAATATTGTTATCGATATATTACAACACTGTATAATTTAAAAAATTCACTGTATTTATGATAAGTGTTCTTTTAATAACATGTGTATATTTTATGAATATATATATATATATATATATCTTCATTTATGTATAAATATATAGTTTATTAATTATTATATCATTGAACATAATATAGCTTATTTATTTGCTTTCATATAATATAAATTAGGATATATATTTTAATTTTATAAACTAAGGTCTAAAATAGTATTTTATTATACATTATTGCATTATTGATTCATTATTTATACAGTATTTTTAATTTATTTAAAAAATTGGTTCTAATTTAATATTTTATGGTACAATTTGTTCTTTTGCAGCTAATTGATCCTGGAGTGAAAGCTTATCAGCCAATCAAAGGACGACCAAATGTAATTATGTTTGTTGGTCTACAAGGTTCAGGAAAAACAACTACTTGTACAAAACTTGCCTATCATTATTTAAAGAAAAATTGGAAAGCTTGTTTAGTTTGTGCTGATACTTTTCGTGCTGGTGCATATGATCAAATAAAGCAAAATGCAACAAAAGCAAGAATTCCATTTTATGGGAGGTCAGTAATAATTAGACATACATACATACATACATACATACATAAATATATATATTTTTAGATCCTGTAATTTAGATATATATAGTATATTAGATAAGTTGTTTTTGCATAAATAAACAAATTTTATTTATTTTAAGAAATAATTTTCTATAAGATGTTACATAAATAGATGAAACTCAGTAATTAAGAGTATATATATTGTCATTAAATATTGTATTATTTTGAGATTATTTTATATTATTTTAATTATTTAATTTTTCAATTTTTCAACTAATTATTATGTTTTAAGTGTGTATTTATATAATATTTTCTGCTTTATATGCTTTCTTCAATTGTGTGATAAACTTTAAAAGCATGTAGAGACACTTTTGATATCTGTAATGTTACTGATACTATAATATTACTAATGTATTAATAAAGAAAATATTACATTTTAAAGTAGAAGAAAATGAAAAATAATTATATTCTATTATAAAAATAAAATATTATTATTACCAAATAAGATTATTATTATAATTACAATAATTTTAGTATTCATTTTATGTACTAGTTGATTTGTATGTTAGAAATGTTATTTTTATATCTATATTTCTTTTGGTTTTATTGCTTTAAAATAATTTGTAATTTCATAAAAATCATAGTGTTCCAAAAGTATCATTATAATAAAATTAAACATATTTCTTTGTTTAGCTATACAGAAGTAGATCCAGTTATAATAGCACAGGATGGTGTGGAAATGTTTAAAAAGGAAGGTTATGAAATCATTATTGTTGACACTAGTGGTAGACACAAGCAGGAAGAATCTTTATTTGAAGAAATGCTTCAAGTTGCAAATGCAGTTGTAAGTGATTTAATAACTTCTATTTATTTTGTTAAATAAATATATTAAATGAAAATTATATTATATCATTAAAATTAGAAAACATTGTTCTCCATAAAAGTAAAATGAAGTTTCGAGTTAATAAAAATTAGATGTTTTTACTATTGTCATTAAAATTTATAAATTAGATAAATGCAGTCAGTCATTATAGTGGTACAATTTGTTACACGATAAATTTTTATATTTCATTATATTGTATGAGATTATTGTTGACATTTTCAATATGTTTTGTAGAAAGTAGTACAATTTAACAATATTTATGAAAAAATGATTGCTTACTTTATTTTTTGGAATAAGATATTTTATTTATCAATTTTTCAATATTTTTTAATTTCTCAACAATTCTTTTAATATTACATTTAACTTTAAATTTATGAATTTTATTTACTATTCAGTAAATTTTAATTGTGACATTGATATACTTGATATACTTATTGACATTAGTTAAGTATAATGAGTTAATATGAATTATGTAACGATATACATTTTTTTTTTCAGATAAATGAATTTTTGTATATATTTTAGAATATTTTTATTATTTCTAGCAACCAGATAATATAATTTTCGTAATGGATGCAACAATAGGTCAAGCTTGTGAAGCTCAAGCAAAAGCTTTTAAAGAACGCGTTAATGTCGGTTCTATCATTATTACAAAACTTGATGGACATGCAAAAGGTGGAGGTGCTCTTTCAGCGTAAGTTTTTATAATTTTTAATTAGTTTCTGTATACTTTTATAAAACATTTTTAAAAAGATATTTTTGATTTTTGGTTAATTCATACCCCTGTGATACTTCTATGTACTAATATTTATCTTTAATTGATTAATATTCTTTAATTAAATGTTACTACAAAAAAAAATTTATTAATAATAATAACAATATTCATAATCATAATTTTAATTGTAATAACATTACTAATTGATTTTATGTTAAGAGTTTGCATTGAATATAATAAAAGTAAAACTTTAATTTACTATTATCAATTAAATATTATTAATCACATTACAACATAAAAAGATGATCATTCTAAATAGTAGAGATTTTTGATATTATATACATATATATATATATACATATTTCTATAGGGTTGCTGCGACGCAAAGTCCAGTAATCTTTGTAGGTACAGGAGAGCATATAGATGATCTAGAATATTTTAAAACAAAACCTTTTATTAGTAAATTATTGGGTATGGGTGATATTGAAGGGCTAATAGACAAAGTAAATGAATTAAATCTCGATGACAATGATGAATTAATTGAGAAAATCAAACATGGACAATTTACTTTGAGAGATATGTATGAACAGTTTCAGAATGTTATGAAAATGGGACCGTTTTCTCAGTTAATGGTAAGTTTTAAATGTCTTTAATATTCTGTAAAAGTTTTATCTAAACCTATGAAATATAAAAACTATAAACAATTACATAAATTTTGTTTTCTATTTAATCCATGAAATTTCTAACATATTTATAATCTCAATAGAATATGTACTTAAATAAGATTCAATTAAAATGAGTGTGATTTTTTGTTAAATAGGGAATGATTCCTGGTTTCAGTCAAGATTTTATGTCAAAAGGTACAGAAAAGGAATCTATGACAAGACTAAAACGTATAATGACCATTGTGGATAGTATGAATGATGCAGGTAATTTTTGTTTTTTTAATTAAATATGTTAATTATTTTTACAAATTTTTATGTTTCTGTAAATATTCTATTTATAAAATAGATAAATTAGGGTTTATAAACTATAAATATAAGTGATATTTCACATAACAATTAATAAATGTTTATAGAATTGGACAACAGAGATGGTGCAAAATTATTCAGTAAACAGCCAGGCAGAATTATAAGAGTAGCACAAGGTTCTGGTGTAACAGAAAAGGAGGTCAAGGATGTAATTACACAGTACACAAGATTTGCAGCAGTTGTAAAGAAAATGGGTGGTATTAAAGGATTATTTAAAGCAGGAGATATGCCCAAAAATATAAATTCAATACAAATGGCAAAGTTAAACCATCAAATGGCAAAAATTATGGATCCCAGAGTTCTCCATCAAATGGGTAAGTAATATCAGCCACAATTTTTTAAATATCAGAAAATAAAACTTATAATAAATTTAATAAATTTTTGAGATTTGAATGTGTTTATACTAATGAAGCATTATTCTACACATAATATAGTGTCATGTTTTTTGTAAAATATTAATTGTTGATTAAATTTAAAACTGATTTTTTTCATGATATTCAACTTTTTTGATGTTTTTTTATATATATTCAAGTAATAATATAAGTTAACAGTAAAAAATGTATCTTTTTGATTTCATAATAAATATAAATTTACATTGTTATTGTAAAATAGGTTCCAAAAGTTAATTGAATTAAAAACATAAATATTTTCATTTTAATACTATTGAAAATATTTCTAGTTGCTATTTCATCATATTGATTTTTCTAAAAGTTATTGCAATAGTTATATATTTACCTTACAATTACATTTCTGTTGTCTATTATATATTTGTCTAAAACTGAAGTACATTAACGTTTTTTATTATACTATCATATTGTCTATATTTATTTAATATTTGGATACAGCTAAATAATATTGGTAAAAGTGAATATGTGAGATGTTTCAACAATAGAAGAGTTACTTAGCTTTTCCTACATAAATGTAAAAAATTTTCTTTTTAGGTGGTATGCCATGGTTACAAAATATGATGAAGCAACTTCAACAAGGTGCAGCAGGAGGACTTGGAAATTTAATGGGTGGTTTTGGAGGCAAATCGTGAAAAATGATTTATTAGGCAGTACAGTGACTGTCTTTGATATAATTCCTTGTTAAATATTATTTAGTAATAACGGGAAAGAAAAAAGAATGGGGAAGGAAAGGAGAAAATGGAAAAGAAAGCAATGAATTTTAAAGCCTGTACTATTCTGTGAAAATGATCTTTTGAAAATTTTTACAAAAGTTTAGGCAAAATTTTATGTTTACAGATCTTTTTCAACGCGAAAGAAATAAAGAATGATGTTCGTTACCATGTGTATGACTTTTATACTTTATTCTATATTTCCTCTGTATGTAATTTTTCATTTCACTATATTTTTGCTTATATGGTAGTTCATAAAAGTATTCATATATGAAAATAAAATTTATTTAACTTAGTTTTATTAGTATTTTACTAGTGTTTTTACGAAATTTAGTTAAATATAATTAGAGTAAAGTTAGATTAAGTAATTAAGTAGAGTTAAAGTAAAATGCTTAATCTTTAAAATATGACATGTATGAATTGAGTTAAATAATTTTTCTTTGAATAAGTAAAGAGTATTTATTATGTGGTACAAATATTGGCACATATTTTTTGTGCATTGAATAATATAGTAAAATATATTGTAGATTGAAGTCCATAAAATATTTTTGCCTGAATTATATTTGATTATATCAAAATTATAGTAATTTCATTGCTAATTTTCCCACATTCAGATTTTAAGATCTATTTCAGCTATTCCTGATTTTAAAATAACTTTTCTCCTCATTTTTTAATTTAATTCTTCAGATGTTTAATTGGAGTTAAGATTTGGAGATTAAAAAAATGTTTTTACAACAGAATTTATAAATAATACAAATAATTCATTAGTAAATTAAGTATTAATTTAACAATAATCCATTACTAGATTTATGCTTGAAGTTATTGTCCTACTGAAAATTGTAGTTTTCTAAAAGCTTAAGTTTTCTGGCACTGTCAAATTATTTTGCAATATATTTAAATAAACAGAGCTGTTATAAACATAAGGCAATTATGTGTAAGTTGTTTGTTTTCTTTATTCCTACAAGTTTTATTTATAGAATGCCTTTTCTAACTTGTAATATATAATCACATTTTTTATACATTTTCCTCACCAGTAAATATAGTTGATGCTAAAATAAAACACACTCATTAGTATACATTTTCCCAAACTGTAATTCCTTTTTTCGATTTATGACGCTAGCAAGCGACTTATTTATAGTTTTTGTATGAATATAAATTTTTATAATTTTTTAATTGTTTTTTATCTTGATGCTGAAATTTCCTTTTATTTTTCTAAAAATAAAAAATTATATATTTTTGCTCTCTTAATTTCTGAGGTTGTTTTGTATGCAATTTGTTGACAATAAATAGTGCATTACATTGTATAATATAATAATATTACTAATTTCTTTTAATGATTTTTATTGTTGAAATAAATTAATAGTAATTTGTTGCTCTTTAGTAGTTACTTTTTCATTTCTAATTGTAATATACAGAAAAATCCAAAGTGAGGAAAAATTTGTGTTCAAGTATGTAATTTAACTATAATAGGCCTGCATTATGCTGCATATTTCGCACTTTTTTTCAATGCTTTAATTAATTTCTTTTATTCTAAAATTTTATATATGTATATATAATATCTAAAATAAAATTTTATTATAATGAAATTATAAATTATAAATTATTATAAAGTTCACCTCCAGTATTATGTAATACATAAAACATTATCATACGTATATAAGCAATGTACATGCATATAACACGTATTGTACATATATCCGAAAATGTATTTCTCAGTTAATACGGTCGTATACTTTACTAAAATTTGAGTTAAATATTCAATTGTTTAGTATTGTTTAATAATTGAATATATATCTACTATTAATAAATACATACTCAATACATAATAATAGATAATATACCGTGACCGAATGAAGATTTTTATGCACCGATAATTAAACTATGTAATAAGTATTCTCACCTATAAATATCTTTATTTATTTTTTATGTAAAAAATTTATTTTATTGAATTTATAGTTACTCTCTTTTAAAAATTATAAATTCCATTTAAATATAATTACATTTTATAAAATCGGTATTAATAATAATTTTCATTCTCGTGTACGAACACTTCTGAACATTACTGTATATATGCTATTTTGATTTTTACCGCTAATTTTAATTTATTCATTACATGAAAATTTTTATTATTTCATGACATTATTGCCCAATTTGAATTTCAAAAATATGGAAACAAGTTAGACAAGATAGGAAAAGATGAAATTAATATAAAACTTGTTGAATTCTTTTGCTTTATAATGATTTGTAGAGGAGAATAAATTGATAATTTTTTACAGAAAGACACACATTAATCATTTCAATAATCTTGAAATATGTTGTCAATAATAATATTTCGAATAATTATTCTATACTAATTATACAGTTTAAAGGACTTAACTGTGATGACCTTGACTTTGCATATGTCGTAGAAGTCATTCTCCTAGCCAAATTTCAGTAGGTTATAGTTGTTACTTATTACTTATGAAAAATTTATTAACAAAAAATGTTTCAATAATATTATCCGGATTACCTTGTAGATTAAAATATTGGGTTTGATTTAGAATGCATTATAAATTTGTTTTGGCATACATAGACGGCTGAACTTTTATCTAGTTTAACTAAAACTGGAATATATTGAAGTGTTAATCATTGATTTTAATGAAATTTTGTGGCGGAAAATTATTAAACACGTAATTTTTTTTATCTGGGATAAAAATCTTCAATGTAGGGGTAGTAAATCATATTTGTTCGAATATCTCCCAAACTATTAGAGATCAGTCAATAGCATAAACAATATTATTTTATATCATAAGTTAATTTAAATTGTATTATAAATTAAATACGATAATGATTACCTATTCAATTATTTTATAAATTCATTTCTCATTCTATTTATTTTTATATATTACTAATTGTGTTTTTAATTAAATAATTTGATATAATAAATGATCGAATAGAAAATTTTACTCGTAAAATATATTTTATTATTCATTTTAAAAAACGTATTAAACAAGAATTTTATTAGGTAGTTACAAAAAGTTTCAAACAACTAGTTAAATTTTCTCTATGTATTTAATTTTTTTTACCTTTTTAATTAAAAAAGATAAGTTAAAAAATAAAAATAAGCAAAAAAGTAATAATTCAAACTTACATATAATAAGAGTAATCTAAACGAAGACATTTGGTTTCGTTTTTTATTCGTTTAATTTCTCGCGCTTCTTACAAGGTTTGGTTAGCTTGTTTGAAATAGCACACGAAAATGTGGACAAGTAGAAATGCACCGTTTATATAGAGAGTTTATTAACAAATAGGTCATTTTTAACCTCATCTCGTAAATCAAAATAAGACAAACATTAAAAATAGTAAAATACATCTTTAAATACAAAAAATTAAAAAATTGTCCAAAATATATTTTGGAATATATTTGATACATTTACAACAGTAGAATAGGTCAAGATATAAAGAATACAGTCGTCGCTAAAGATATTGATACAGTTTACTAGTTGATTTGATAGAAGTTATGAAAAAAATTGTGTAATATTCGATGATATAAATGGTTTTGAAATTATGAATTAATTAAGCATTAAATCTGCTTATTTACAAGGCATGTTGGAACTTGCATTATGAAATTTTTTGGTGAAAGCTTTAGGAAAAGATCTTTTCCAACATAAATTTTCACTACACAAATAATCCACATTTTTATACACATAAATAGTTAAATATTTGGTAAAATATTTATTTATATTTTGAAAAATAATTTTATTTTAGTACTATTGTTCAAATTAATATTTCAAAATAAAATTTAATTTTTCCCATAATAGTATTTGGAAGTTAAATTACTAATTAATAAAAGTCATTAAGTAATTAATTTTATCGTACGATTTAATGCCTATTTATCCCTTATATCGAAAAATAGGTTTCTTTTTTCTTGATCCTCATTAATATTTTTTGCAATTCTTAAAATTTCTGCATTTATTAGTCAACTTTCTTTATATCTGAACAACCAATTATCTTCGATTGTACTACACACCTCACCATATCTGTATCAATGATAAAAGTTATTCTTAAAGCGATTAGTTTGATTTAGTTAAATAGAATCCTAATAATGATAGTTTGCAATATTCATACGTTGAACAGTTGTAACTGTACAATTTTGTATACATATGACGTAATAAACAATCTATTACCAAGAAAACTAACTTTTTGTTCATACTGCAAATAACTTACTTATGCGGCAGGAAAACAGGTAAACAGATACTATAAAAATTATCTGTTATATTACGAGGTATGTTCAAAGTTCAAAACATCTGCTTATATGTCCATCGTAGTGTTGTCCAAAGGATAGGGTCTCCAATGCGTTCTTTTATATTGTATCATCACTACATAAGACGAAGAGAGCTCAGAAAGAAGTTAACGAATCTATAGCTTGATAAATTTAACTGTACCGGTTATGAAGTCATCGAGGGTAGAAAAATGTTTATTATTATAGCTGAAAAATAATTAATAACTATATTATATAGAACACAAGGATTAGTTTAACCTGTAAAAATATCGTAGGTTTACGTACATCTGCTTAGGACCGTTGCTTTAAATACCTTTTGTAACGTTGGTCGGCTCACTTCGCGAGTTTCCGCTGCTAATCGGCAAGTTACATTGGGCGAATCGTAGTAAGACGAAATAAGACTATTAGAAAAGAACAGAGAAGGTATAATCAAGTGGGATAGTAAAGATCATCGCTTTCAATGGCCTTGAACACTCGATATATTTGATCTCATAAATACTGTAAAATAAATTCATGGTGGTAGAGATTTTCTAATAAACATTCAGAAATCAATAAATTTAGTAACAATATCTTTGATGTACATATTTATAATTAATTAATTAGTTAGTTAATTAACATTCAAAACACATTTTATTCTTAAATTTCATTCTAAGAAGATACAGGTGCCTATTAAATCATGTTAGCCTAATATTTAACAATGTAAATGATTTATGAACATGTTTTTAAAGATTGTATTTAAAAAAATATGCATATTCTTTAACGATGCAGTCATTTCCTTTTTAACCTTTAAATTATATGCAAAACATCAAAGCGATTATTTCTCCTGTACTATTAAGTAAGACTTAACATGTTCTTTTATAAATTACTTCTACACAGTTTTTTACTCAGATTTCTCAATTTTCTGAGTTACTCTCTTATAATCTTAAAACGTCATAACATTGATAATTTAGAGAGTTATTTCTTAAAAAGAAACAACGTTGAACCGTGTAAAACATAAAAAAATACTTTCTTCTGTAGCTGAGAAACATGAAATATTTAAGTTAAACATGATAATGAAGCGATAAAAAATATAAAATTTGGCTACTTACAGATTTCAGAATGTTTGATGACGTGAATGTAAATTTACCGGTACCTGTTTTACGAATCGTTTCGCGTGTATGCATAAACGCGTAACGGCGAAAGTTCCGTCTGAAGTGATGCGCGGTGCGCGTAAGATTAACGCGGGAAATTATTTTATACCTCTTGCGCATCTCACAGAATTTTGATATCGAATCTTGCTTACGTATATATGTAGTGAAGACAATATCATGGTGCTTGGCGTGTATAAATTTTAACGTAACACAGATATTGGTAAGTTTATTTACGTTATTAGAAAATGTAATCATCTGAATTTAATATTGTATCTTATTTCTATAGGAAAAAAAATATGAAATTGTGATATAATACAGATGGTCCAAAAGAATTTTATAATACTGTTTTATAGTACGGGTGTTTTATACTACATTTTATTTGATAGATAAATATATATTTTTATTTTAATATCAATGTGTATAAAAATGAACTTAAGGTTATATATCATAAGGTTATACTTGTACATAAATTTGTACATCTTAAGAATTGGAAATGCATTTATTGTTATGATTTTTTTCTCATGAAAGTAAATACGATTTAAAAAACTAATTTCTTTAGGGAGGAAGCATTTAAATTTAATAATTAAAGAAAAATTTTATTGAAAAATAGAAATAACGTTAAAATATGCATTTTCATGACAATCTTTTTTTAACCTCGTATTTTTTAATTACAGATAACGCATATATTGTTTAACAAGAGAAGAAAAGACTAATTGATTAATTAAAATAAAATAAATAATCAAATATAATCTTTATCTTAAATTTCCAAAAATGTTAATTTCTTGCAGAATAAAGATCATTTCAGTTATGATTACTTAAGACGTTTTAGAATAAGATTAGATTATTACGTGCAAAATAATCACGGTAAATTTTAATTAAATAAATCCAGTAACTTTTGTGAGATTTTTGTATCATTCCTAACCTAGCAATTTTTGCAACTGATTCTTTATATTCTCTTTTTATTTCAGGTTAGTTAAGAAATTTAAGGAACGTGTAAGGAAATTTAAATTTACTCTGGGATGAGAAATGTCGATAATGTAGTACAACAATTTGATTATAAATACTTTTTCACTTATTTATGTTTCTTAAATTTAAATTAAACTTATTTGAATTAAATTACACACACACGCACGCACACTGCACACACACACTAATACACATACATATATATTGATTTATATCTTTATTAACTAGATTTGGTTTAATTTAGATATAGACTTAGATATTTGGTTTTGATTTTTGATTGACTGTGAAACTGATTATCGAGTTCAACATACGAGTTGTTTAGACTTTATTTCGATATAGAGAAAAAATACCGAATATCATAAAATTTCCCATACAATTTTACACGCTTAAGTGTCTATAATGCTGGAGACATACTTTGATGCTAGAAATCTTCAAAGGATAAACTTTTGAAGATTTATATATTTCCATAGAACGCAACATTTGTTGTACTAAATTTGGCAAGAAAAACGTATATGAAATTTTGGTTTAATTAAAAAATGACATAAGGTATCGGTTTGGCTAATGCGCAGGCAATTTGGAATAGTCGTATTTCAATTTACCTTTCTTGTATAAAATTATTTTTATTTTTATGTTTATTTCATTATTATATTTTCTTCGTATATATATATAATGGGTTCTTGGTTCGTTCACGAAATAAATTATCCTAGAATAATTAGGAACAGGAAAGGCAGTATACAACATTACAATATACAAATTTGGTAAATATTTATTCTAAGCACTAAGAGTTATTTGCAATTATCACAAATGACGTGTCGCAATAAAATGAAAGTTCCTAATTATATTTACTTTTGGTATTCCAAGTTAGCAACATGACATTGAAACTTAAAATTTCATACATCAAGAATCATTTTCGAAATAATTTCAAAATTCAGATTAAACCATAAAATTTATATACCAATGCATAGATTTAATGATGTACTTAAAAATTTTTACATATTTCAATTATTTATATTTTTTTTATTAATTACATTTATTTTAAACTTTTGGAAATTAAGTTGGAAATATCAGAAAGGATTTATCTATAAATATCATTCGTTAACAGATTATTCGCTTCTATTATTTACGGTATTACAAACTTGATAGCGTTATAGTTTTTTAGATATCTTGATATACCAAATTATCAACGATACTCCAAATACACTGCACTTTCTCTATTCCACAATATGATGGTCAGTATTGCTCGACTAACACATGGAAACATTTTAAATCGTGATATATTAATGTACGATATATAATAATAAAGAAGTAAAATTATTTACTTGTTCAAAAAGTAAAATGCGAACTTTAAAAAATAATTTTCAGCGCACAAATTTATAAGCGTACTCGCATAAAGTGCATCTAAAACCTAAAAATGTCAGGAATTTGAGATTCGAGTTCAGAATTTCGAGGCTTCCGGGATTTTCGAGAGTTCTTAAGATTATTGAGATTCTTGGAACTGTAAATTACAGAAACGGAATATATATATACAGGGTGTTTCAGTAACGGTAGTACAACCGGAAAGGGGGTGATTCTAAGTACATGCAGAAATGAATCGAACAGAAAGAATACAATTTTTTTATTCGTAGTATCGTTTTCGAGAAAATCGATTTTGAATATTCACCGACTAAATGTGTACTTACCTACGTCTTAGATGTATGGACCGTCAATACAAAAGTAGTACAATCGAAGAGGGGGTGATTCTACACGAAAAAACAAATCGAAAATAAAGAATAAAATTTTTTCATTGGAAACTTGGTTGTCAAGAAAATAGACTTTGAATATTCGAGTACGTTGGTATACCGATGGTCCATATGCCTTAGAAGCTTGTTAGCCAGAGTTAAGTGCACGCGTACTCGGTGCATATTCAAAGTCGATTTTCTTGACAACGAAGCTTCGAATCAAAAAATTTTATTCCTTATTTTCGATTTGTTTTTTTACATAGAATCACACACTCCTCGGTTGTACTATCGATACTGATGTATTGATAATCCATACATCTAAACCATAGTTAAGTGAACGTGTATTCGATAAATATTCAAAATCGATTTTCTCGAAAACGAAGCTTCAAATCAAAAAATTTTATTCTTTTTTTTCAATTCTCTTCTCAGTTGTACTACCGTTGCTGGGACATCCTGTATATCATATAATTGGTTAGTATTGTTCCACATAATATAACAATATATTATACATATTACATAATTGAAGTAACTCGTAGCAGTCAATTATATATTATATTTAATAATATATTATATATTTATTGTTTTATTTCATATTCTCGTGTAAGGTAATTAGATTCTCTACGTTTTATTACTTTTCGAAATTCTCCTTGTTTTCGGGAACCTAACCTAATCTCGATATAAATTCTCGATCCGATATTTTCGGGTTTATGCACACCTTTAAACGCATCATAAAATTAAAAGACAATGGAGAAACAAAACTATTCCTGTCTACTATAATAATTTACTTTTGCAACAGAATTGCTAATATCTAGTGTGAAAAGCGAAAACTAGTTTTGGTCAGTACTGTAAGCTGGTCAGTACTGTTGAACTTTCCCCTACTGCAAGTTTCCTTTTTTCAATTCTCTCTCCTCGTTAACCGCATCAGGTTTCGCTGACAATGAGCTCGAAACACGAAACGGTGAGAGTGGATAGGTCCATGTAAATTTAACGGATCGACAATTTTTTGGTAAAAATTTTCTAATTTAATTTTGACCATTTAACTATTTCAGTGGAAGAGGAAATATTTCGTTTATATATAATAATAACTTGGTGTTATATAATCTTTCCTTATATCGTTTCGATACGATTGAATAATATTCGAGTACTCACAGATAAATTTTCTGTACAACCTTTAATCATGCGTGTAAACTCTAGCATTGAAATCCTAAGTGTGTCAATACTTCTTTGACTTTCAAATTCTTTAATTTTTTGCATTACTTTCTTATTACGCGTTATTAAACAATTTTTATTTGCACATTGTCTCTATGAATAGCAAATTATTAGTTGAAATAGTTTTTACTTACTTGTTTGTATAAAGTTATCGAGAAAAGTTGATGTCGTTCGATGAACTGTATCTTTGTCATAAGTGGACACGTACTGACTGAACTTTCAAACTAGATTGTCTCGAAAACTAAGCTCCAAATGAAAAAACAATTCATTCTATATCTTTTTCTTATCTTTTTATGGAGAATCACCTGGTACTCGCTTGTACATACATATCTTTCAGCAGCACCTTATACAGTAGTTTGTTTAGTTGTCGCACAGTTTACCCGCTTAACCCATTTGCATCGTAGGAAAAATAGCCACCATCGCTAAATTTTGTTCATTAAATTACGAATATTTCAGAAGGTATTATACCATTTAACACGTTGAGTGTGGCGCCAATTTTGCTATACTTTCCGCTCAAGCGGCAGCGAGTGAGCACTTGATGCCGAGCGCACAAGAACCGCTGAAGAGTATGAACAGAAAATTACTTTGTTTCACTTTGTCGTTTGAACCGTGAGAATGGCGCAGCCAATGCACAAATATACAAATTATAAACAGAAGATAATGGGATGGGGAATGCCAGAAAGGCAAAAAGGCGATCACCAAGAGACGATCAGTCAGAAAAAGCTACGGAAGTGTAAAGATTTACTTTAGCAGAGGGAATTCAGTTTTTACAATATATTAATTGTCATTAATAATTTTACCCTTGACAATGCCGGTCTCACGCACCGATGTCGACCAAACGAAAAGTTCGCTGTCAGTCCCTAGAATCCTCGCTGTCCAAACGAAAAGTCTACTGTCAGTCCCCAGGGACTGAGGTAGCACTCAACGTGTTAAGTTATGTGGCAATTACTTCGTCATGAGAATCTAGGCTCTGTAATAAAAGGAAAAAGGAATAAAATATTAATCTCTTCGTATCATAGCTCGATCAAAATGTGAGTGCACGTATATGTACGCTAATGATGCAAGTGTGTTACCTGTCACAGGTTTATCCCCACCAATTCCTGGATCTATTTTGGCTACTTTCTT